AGGGTACTTTTTACGACTTTGAAAAAGGGTTCATAACTATTTTATGATAAACTCTTATGTGACAATATTGAAGTTCATATTTGCCAAAATTGGGAAGACTTATTTTATGATACTGATTTTGATTGGCATATAATTTGCATAAAGCATTTGAAAGATGAATTTTTTATGATTTTCAGTTTTTGCACACAATTATTATACAATAAGAGCTTTTAAAAATGAAACTTGTTGACAATGTAGTATGTAGCTTTTGTAATGTTGATAGTGAAATTTTATGCTATGTATAGTGAGAACGTAATGTAACCTAAACCTTCTAAAAGGAACTTGAAACAAATTATTGAATAATCCAAAACATACAGAAATTTGTAATTAACACAAACTTGGGATTGGTTAGGCATTTTAGGTAATACGCCATTACTAAATCACATATTGGTTTCTGTTAAAAGATGTATTTATACTTGCATCTTGAAGAAAACAATTACAAAAATCTTAACAATTCGGAAAGACAATTACACGGTTGAAAATTCATATCCAGAAGGAACAATAATTTCGATCAATTTTAAAACTTTCTTGTTTCCTTTGCTCCCAGTATTACATTTTTGATTTAATCTTTCCTTGAAATTGAATAACTTTACTGGACATTAATTTCTTTACCCTATCAGTTGATATACCATTTCTCCTGAACCCACTGAACTTTGATTATACATTTGTACATTTATTGCTTTTTATACATGTATTCAACTATTGGAACGAATAAAAAGAATAACTCCCTTAGCTTCTATCAAATACCTGTCTTCTTTCAGGTTTAATATATACTGCTACTGGTTCATCTTGTTAGGTAGATTGCTAAAAGGCTGTGTATGTATGTCCATATCAAATCTGCATCATTCACTTGAAGAATAAGTGTGAATTATATCCGAGACATCGTGTTTAACCAACAGAGAAGTTGATAGCCCCTCATGTCAATTTCTTAAGTCCCTTTCAAAGCACCCCTACCCTATTTATGTTTAACGAGAAGTGTAATCTGACGACTGTTTCGAACACATATCACGTTAGTTCAGAAATTTTATACTTTGAAGCAAGTTACGGTTCGATGCATTTCAATGAAACATGTTTTCTATTGTGGCGGTGATCAACTGCGCAACTACATGATACTTGTATATGTCAACAAAGGTGTTCACTGACTCGTACACGAGAACTTGGCTTTCTTTCAAATAGAAGCATTCTGTGTCACCCTGACATAACCACATACTTACATTATTAAACCCCTTGACAACAGAGACCGAGTTTATTAAGTGTAGCCTTATAATATATTTGAATGTTAAATTGCCAGAAACAAGCAGTGTATGTATCTATTACAGCATGCGTGGTACGCAAACAAACAGGTCAATGCGATTAACTGACAAAATTGTTTTAGTTGCTGTACTGTATAATGTTATTGCATTACTTTCCTGATGTCTGTTTTTATTTAACGTTTGTGAATTTAGAAGTAATCCTGCTATCATGACGATGCATTTTAATAAACAATAAAGGTAACCGAGTAGTGGTGTCATGGTGTTATGTTCGAGGTTCAACATTTTTACAGTTTAACATCTGTATGTCAAGTAAGGTGTTTTACTGAATCGTACATGAAAGGTATGCCTTCATTCAAATAGTATTTTGTGTCAGCCTATGATTCCCACATACATTTCTTGTCGTTATCGTCTTGTCTCGTCACGCCAATGACGTAGGCAAGACGGATAGTTGTGACTGAACTAAAAAAAATCAGTTTCCAACTAAAAGTAGTGTCTTTATCCTGAACGAATATTTTCACCAAACGAAGCCGAGTGTACCCCGATAAGTAGATATGTTCTTGGGGTACTAGATGGTCTTCTTTCGTTTCTTAAGATATTCAGGAGCATAATTATACATCTATAACGTATGAATTATGTCCGCCTTTCTTTACCCAATATACTCTGAAGATTTATGATAATATTATGAGGGTCAATGGGTGCCTTCTACGTTATCTGGGACCTATTTTGAGGACATATGAAAATTCGATATTTTCCCTCACCCGTGGTTGGTGACCGGCTTGTGTGTGTTGTGTCTGAACAAAATATGTATCGTACTATTACTATTACTAGTATCCTGTCAGTAGTGATTGTTGTTGCTGGAAAGTCTGCTTGAAGGGGGAGGGGAGGTCGGTGTTTCGATCGTTGATGGCGTCACACAAAAAGACTATGAAAGATGGTACTTATTATTCTTTCTGCCTGGCTCGGAGTCTGCTGCTCACTTAAAGGCACAATTTCACACATTTACAAAATTATTTTGTCCTATGCTATATAAAATTGGGTCATATGCACTCACTTTAGCTTCCTATTGATGCAATAAAAGAGTTCTTATCCTTTACAAGTTGCCTGAAATCGATAATTGAAACTTCGAGGCGAACAGCTTCCACACAGAGAACACTTGCCATATATGGAAGGTAAACAACTGCTCCGTACATCCAAAACTCATGTCGCACGCTGTGTTGACGGTGGTTGCCCAACTGGTTTCAGTCACAAGTTATTCGTAGAGATATTCGTAAAGAGCGCCCCAAGAGACATAACTCTATGGGGTTTGCTTGAAGTACTGTTCGGCCGGTAGAAGACGCGAAAGTCGATTTAATGTAACGTTGCATTAATTCATTCGAACTTTTTAATTTAATATTATAATCTATATTCGTTTTATGTTTTTATTACATTATATCGTAGCTTCCCTGAGGGCTGATAGTATGGAGAGAAATATATAATTTATTTTTAGAGAAGTGTGGTATGAAATAGTGCCTTTAAATACTGCTTTTCCTCAGCGATGGCCTTGATAAGTGACACATCTTTAACGTTAGTGACGCGTCGTTGCATTCCTCAAACACCAGCGTTTTTATCTTCAGTGCATACAGTGTTGAATGCCGGCGTTGTCAACAGGAGGAGGTAAGGCAAATGAGTTGCTCTATGTGTGTGCTGCTAACTGCTAGTTTCTTACCTCAGCACAGAACAACAAATAGCTCATGGGAACACACACTAAAAACAATAATGATGATTAAATCGATCACTAGATATGGCCATGGTTGATATGATCTAGAAGAACTCGCTGTCGTGAATCATCCATGTGTATGTTGAGACGTTCTCAAGACATAAACACAAGATTGACTGTTGGCTGTAGCGATATGTCTTTGTGTGTAAAGATTTTTATCCCAATAATTTCATAATCGACGTGGTGTCATAGTGCTTGTGTTTTGTTATGACCCGTTCAATTGTTTTCAGAAAATGCTGGACCTTGTTATGAAACGTCCTATAACGTCATTTGTTGCACTGTACTTCCTTCATCTTACATCGGGAACAGGTAGGATGCTGTTCTCTCTGATGGCCACAAAGGCGAATGTATTACTGATATTATACAGTTCAATTGTCTGTTGTTTAACGCCGAACTCAGCAATACTCCAGCTAAAAAGCGACGGTCTGTAAGTAATCGAATCTGGATGAGACCAACAAATGAAACAGTGTATGTATCGGGTGTCCCAAAACAAGTGAACCGGTTTTTTGACAAATATTTTCTCAGCGATAGATACACCGAATTTATTCAAACTTTTCACAGAGTAGCCCTAGGGTATCATCAACAAGTCTACAAAATATCTAAGAGATTTCAAATTAAAGGAGCACTGTCAAATTCAAAACAGCATGTCAAAAAGTGCATTGCCATATGGGACTCTCTAGAGGTGAAAGTTTACCGAGGAGTGAGAGACAAATTGACCGAGCGGGCGTTAAAGGACAGGATAATTATGTCATGGGAGGAAATGTCGATGGAAGAAATACGGAAAGGCATTTCTGCTTGGAAGAAACGGCTTCGTTTAGTTGTAGAGGAAGATGGAGGCGACATTGAGCATAGACTGGAATAAGTGAGTTTTCCCATAGGACATTGCATTGTTGGACAATGCTCGCTTATTTTGAGACCAATCACGTAGATATGTTTGTAGACTTGTTGATGATACCCTTGGGTTACTTTGTGAAAATCTTTTATAAACTCGGTTTATCTGTCGCTGAGAAAATACTTGTCAAAAGCGGTTCACTTTTTTGGGGACACCCGATATATAGCACTTATGATGTTTGCAACTGCATTTTTCGAATGTAAAAAAATACAAATGTGCATGAAGCCCCTTCATAATAATCAATTAAAAAAATGCACCAATATGTTGATACTCACTTTGCATGATCTTACACATGCACTAGTAATGTTTTCGTTATCATGGTGGTGTGTGGCCCTGTGTCTAGAGCTCAAGGCACAATTCAGTTGAGTGCGGAGAGCTTTCGAATGGGTGACCCGTGTTTGGCAGCTTGACCCCTTTGGAGTTTCTATGACCTCAGTCCTTCCCTTACGACCATAGGTGATACATGTGGTCTCACTTTAGGCGAGCAAGTTTGTTCAAACTTGCCTCTGTTCAGCCAGCAGAAAATGGTTACCCGATGTGATAAGTCATGTGACTATTAACCTTCTAGGCAGCTCACATGCAGCTTGGGTTATCAGGGGTAATAATAATAAGAATGTGTGTTAGCGGTCTGTCCGTGTGTCTTTTACATAGAAAATATATAAATATAATAATATATAAATTCATAATTATTATTATTATTGTTTTCAGTGGTTTTTCGTCTTGTTCCTGGACCCAACATGGGGATTCTACAGATTCTGCACGGTAATACATGGGGAACATTATGTACGTCATACTTTGGCTATGAAGAACGCAATGTTGTCTGCAGACAACTCGGATTCCATACGTAAGTGCTAGATGTGATGAATGAACTGTTGAATGTTTTCATCCTTTTTATTGGCAGATTACGGTGAGAGACCCCACCCCCTCAGACTTTTTAAATGCCCGTGACGTAAATAACCGCAATTACTTAAGGTGAAGTGTTCAGAGAGATGTGATTGAGTGAGTGAGTTTAGTTTTATGCCGCACTCAGCAATATTCCAGCTATATGGCGTCAGTCTGTGAATAATCGTGTCTGGACCAAACGATCCAGTCATCACCAGCATAAGCATCCTACTACACAGTTGGGATACGATGACGTGTCAACCTGACGACCCGATCCCTTTAGTCGCCTTTTTCGACAAGCATGGGTTACTGATGATCAGATGATCAGTGTCAACCCGGATCTCATAGAGATGTATAAGATAAGAGTGGGGTGGCTTGAATATTGGGCACAGATGTCGAGTGTCGGAATGTATACTTTCGTTGGTAATTTTGTCAACTACACTGTGACCAATCATGGTTTGGTTAAGGGACAAACGATGATGGGTAATAACAATTTGTTGTAGATGACGCCCACATGTGTCGTTAACACTGTTGTGTACTTATAGAAGCGTGTTGACTTTTCAGCACCAACAATAGGCAAGTGGATTTCGGTTCACTACCTGGAAGTGCTAAATACCTGGGACGATTCAACTGCAATGGAAAGGAAAAGAATTTCGACAGCTGTCCAGATTTTAACTTGACCCGTTGTAATTACCAGAGCACCCTGGGATTGCTGTGCCTCAGTGGTATGTATCGATCGTTTGTATCAGACAGCCATCCTTGTCATTATCCCCGGGGCAAACGACCCATCAATGGTGCTATACGATGATGTAATGGTGACCCTGATACCGACATTGACATCTGTGACAGACACGTCCTGTGGCCGAATGAATTTAATCACATAACTTTCACAGTATAATTAGTTAGAATATGTGTTTGACCATAAAATTCATGATAATGGCCCAGATGTATTTGCCCTGTTCTTGTCTGGTCCTCTCTATTAGTCTATATCAATAGTATATTCTGCCCACAACATATTGTTACACTTACAAGGAGTATGTAAAATATTTGTAATTCATCGTTTTGTGACGTGCGCTTGTACACTGATAATGACTGAAAAGAAGTACTGTGAAAGGACTTTCTCCATTTCCGTTGTTACTGTCGTTATATATGTTTTTTAATGTTTACGATCATGTTTAAAGTCGTTCAAGATGTGTTAGATTGTAATTCTATGATGACTTTACCCTGTTCTTTTACGGCATTGCAGATCTGAGAAATCACGAAAATGAAATCATATTATAAAATGTACATCAGTATATAAGCAAATCACAACGATCACAAGGAGTTTTCTTTCTCTGTACCTTTTGTGTTATAATATTCCTGTTAATCTTTCTCTCTTTCTGTTCATAATGATATAAAATTTGTTATTGTAAGTACAAAATGTATTCTTGGAGAGGGGTTTTATAACTTGTAAGAACTTGTCCCCGATCCTGTACACTCTATGAATAAAACATATTTAAACTAAATAAACATTCTTTTTAATCTAGAAATGATTATTGTGATTTGAGGCTGTCATTTGATTCACTACCAAGAATCAGTTATTTTCTATGTTCATTGTAATGTGGTTGTTAACCATTAAAAGAAAAGAAACCTTCACGTGATATCGCTTGCATATACTAGTATTGATGTGTTGCGTGACATCTTCGTATCACAGACACAGAGAGCTTGGTAACCCTTGGCATCCAGAAGACCAGAGACATCAATGAGGGAAGTCAGTTGTATTCTTCAGTGTACTCAAGACAGTCACCCTACGTGTATGCATGGACACGAAACGGAAACATTCAGCATAATCAGACATCTAGTGCGGTCAGAATGAAGCGCACCGACTCTGGAAACTGGACCTGTACGGTCTACTCAAGAACTGGAAACAAACGCCTTGGATCAGACTCAGTTATGGTGACAGTTTTGTGTAAGTATGGCATACAAACGCAAGGACACACAGTCGGCATAAAATGAAGCACCCAAACTGACAGTATATTTTTGTTTGCTGCCTGTGTAAGTCCGTAATTATCAATTTTAAAACTAAATGACGGTCAGTAAATAGTAAAGGTCAGAGAAACGTGTGATTGACCATGTGACCATCTTATATTCGATGACATGCATTAACCTAGTCGACGAGCCAGACCACCAGATAATATTGGTTGCCTCTTACGGCAAGCATTGGTTGCTGAAGATCAGTCTTAACCGAAATCTTCGCTTATATAAAAATTCTATATAATAACCGAGAGACATCAAAAGGAATTGGTATTCCAATGGTGCCAGATACATACACTTTGTCGTTTTACATAGCAACAGGAAGAAACAGATTGTATCAAGGTTTCTTTTAGAATCCTATTTGATGTTGTTTTAGGAGCCTCCTTGATTTGACAAACCTTGATGATCAAAATACATGACCTGTTTCATTATGTGACAAGTAATTCCACAATACTTCAGACCACCCATACAGCTTGACCATGAGGACCATTTACGCCCAACGAGGAGACACAGTGAATCTCAGCAGGACCGACATCAGCCTTCCAACACCACACGTCTTCAGATGGCGCCATACAGGTCTGGACTCTGAGTTCGCCGAATCGACCAAACCACCAGTCATACCAAATATACAGCGGCATCACTTCGGGGAATATATCCTGGATGTCACAAATACGTTTCCCTCAGGGCGTTCAGACTCTGGAATGGATCTAATCAAACTGTATGTGTCATGTAAGTCATACTATTTGATAAGCAGCTTCAATAATTGATGCGTTTTATATTCCTTAGTATGAAAATGCAAGGATTAATGCGTTTTGGGTATTCATGTTACAACGTATCAAAGCTGGTTTTGTTATTATATCCAAACACTTGTTTAATATCTATTTTCATAGAATTAATCACAAACGAAATACTGATTATAGTCTCTCCAGTAACTAAGAAAGTGACGAAAATTATTTTTGTGCTTTTCAAACACATGTAATCCTTGATAATCCAGAGGATGCTTTTCCCCAGAATTGCTACAATCCATGCATTTCTGAATTAATATATTCTTCTCTTCATAAAAATAATTTATGACAGGAGTTGTGTATTGGTAACTAAGGAGGTTTCATTAAATGTAGTTAGCCTTTCTGTACTGTGATTCGAACACACATTAGCACCGAGGGAGATGCATTTGAACATCAATTGACAAATTACTCCAAAATTAAAATTCATCTTGTACTTTTTCAGACGCCCCCTCCATCAAATGCGAAAGGGAGGTATTAGTGGTGGAAGGTAAGTCTCTCGACTTAGAGTGTGACGTTGAAGCCTACCCAGATCCACACACCTTGACATGGTCGCACAGTACAGGATACAAGAAAGAGGTGTCCAGCATGACAGAGAAATACAATATTCCTAAGGTCTCACACTCTGATGGCAGCCTCTACACGTGTGAGGCCAAGAACAACATCAGCGACCGCGATGGGAACGTTGACATTGGCGTTGGAACGTGTACCATACGGGTCACTGTCCACGACGTCGAAGGTGAGTGAGTGAGTGAGTGAGTGAGAGAGTGACATGTGCCCACCGATCCCGTGAGTCTCTTACGAGAAGCATGGGTTACTGAAGAAGAATTATAACCCGGATCTTTCCTTCATGATGGCGATCTCCAGGAAACTACTGAATGTATCACACAAACATATCACTGAATTGGTGATTGACAGTGATGTCTTGCTGCTTAAAATATCCAAATATTGCGCAGGAAAATGTTATGTACAGATCGTTTAACTTTCATTTATGATTCTTTAAGTCATTGGTTTCTTAATACATTCCTCTATTTCAGCTACAACATTACCAGTTGTTGCTGCCAATTCACACAAGGGAGGCAACTCTATGACGACTGTTGTGTATGTTGTTGGGACGATCCTTGTCCTAAGTGCTCTTGTTCTTGTCATTGTTCTCGTGGTGTTGACACTGAAGCGTCTCCAGATGAAAGGTACTTGTCGGCTTGCAACATACTGATACATCACAGTATAGAAACAGTAGAATTAAATATGACTTTAAAAGATTTATTTCACAAGAATATGTGTTGAAGTTCATAACTGAAGTGTACGACTCGTTTATCGGATGTGTTTTTGAAGCAGTTCAACATTTGTCACTTTCTGTTTTTACAGGGAAGGGAAAAGAGGACTTGTAAGTTACTTCATTTTCGTGATCACCGTGTACATTTAAAATGCTAACTTTCTTTTACTTTTTGTCATGTCAACGAGTAATTGACACTTGAGATCCTAATGACATTGTAATGATATTTGTGCACAGAACAATTGCTGAAGAATAATGTCCGTTTTCCTGGAAAGATCAGATGCATGTATTCGCTACTCTTTTTGTTTTGCTTTTTGCAAATTTAGGAAGACGCCTCCTCCCAGCCCTGAAATTCCTCAAGAAGGTAAACCATAAGTGACTATTGTGCATCGTGGTAGCATACAGAATTTTTGCTTTTTAAACATGTCAAATAGATAAAGTAATTGCTGGGAACGATGAAGCAGATGACTGAAATCTTGTCTGCGTGTACATGTCTGAAATAAGATGTCAAAATAAATCAGAATTGAAGTGAGAGTATATATTTTATGTCCGCTTATACAGATATGTCTTTATGTTTTAAATGCATTCCACATGGATGGACATTTTCGAGCGAGGCTTATAGTTTAAATGCGGGCGATTCATGCCTTCTTTATTTACACTTAAAAACTAAATTCAAAGTACTTAAGAACGTGTACCCGTAACTGTGTTTTAGAGCATGCCTATGAAGGACTGACTATTCGCTGAGGTGTGACGGAATGCCCCGGGCAGCATTGCAAGGTAAGGGCTTTTTGACTAAATGATACATATGTACTATGTTAAGTTTGAAAAATCAGTAACTTTGATTGATTGTCTCACCCACGTGGGATATCATTTAAACTACATTTGTTGGTGTGTTTTTTTGGGTTTTTAGGGTTTTTTTAGCTTTGTTTTATTATAAAAAAATTTTTCATTTATTTTTTTAACACCATTTTGATCAGACTTCACAGGATAGAATAACTAGGAACGTTACCTACTTGTGTACCATATTTATGTTTGTGTACATTTTAAATCTTTACTGTTTGCACCACCAGACAAGGGTCTTCATAATAAATGATTCTTGTGTATAATTGCATGTATTGACAGTGTTTTTACTACACGTGTGTATTATATACAATATACGTTTCGTTGTTAATATTTGCTTATTTCTGTAGCCTCATCATATGGAGAATGGAAATATATTCGTAAAATTGATTGATTGATTTATTCTTGTTTAATAATTAACGCTGCACTCAGCAATATTCCAGCTATATGGTCTGCAAATAATCGTCTAGACCAAACAATCCTGTGATCACCAGTATGAGCATCGTACTACGCAATTAGGATACGATATGGATGACATGTGTCAACCAAGTCAGTGGGGCTGACCACCCAATCCTGTTAGTGGCCTCCTACGACAAGCATTGGTTACTGAAGACCATTTCTAAGCTAGATCTTCACGGGTCTATTTTCGTAACAAGTAGGGATACCAACATAGTGTTGACACATTTCATTTGAAAATTAACGAATAATACTTATTGCCTAACCCACGATGGACGTAATTCCGGATATCAAGTTCCTTTCTTATCTTGTAATCTTGTAATCTTGTAATCTTGATCGCAACAAACTGCATCAAATATGACATATTTATCCAAAATGTTAGAGAAATCAGTTAAACCAAGATTCCTGGATCACCTTCAGTCTTCGGGCCTGCTTAATATGTATCAGTCGGCTTACAGAAGTGGACTCAGTACAGAGACAGCTCTCAATAAAGTATGAAACGATTTGAGGACCAGTGTGGATGACGGAAATGTTGCGTTTTTCTCCTGTTAGATTTATCAGCGGTTTGATACTTTGCTAATAGACCGACTTCATACTGAATATGGTTTAGAAGGCATTGTTTCGGACTTGTTCCACTCGTATCTGAGAGACAGATACCAGAGACAGAGAATTAGCTTTAATGCTACTTCATATGACAAAACTCTTTTGACGTGTGGTGTACCCAAGATTCGGTACTGGGCCCAGTACTATTTACGTTTACAGCAAGCCTGTCTCTCAAGTCATTAGTAACTGTGCCATCAATGATCATTTTTATGCTGATGACACGCAATTATACAATAGTTTTGCTCTTGATGACCAGTCACAGACGTCAGAACTCAGTGCTATGGAAGACTTTACATCCAAAGTTAGCGCCTGGATGAACTCCAACATGCTAAAGTCGAACAGGGATATGACAGAGGCCTTGCTCATGAGACCTGGCAAAAGGCTGCAAAAGATCAAAACAACTCGTATCACAGTCTACAGTGATGATATCAACTTTCGACAATTGCTAGAAACTTGAATGTGCAGCTAGACTCGTCACTCAGCATTGACAAGCACATCAATGACCTCGTCAATAACCGTTACTTTCACCCCGAAACATAGGTAACATACGCCACCTTCTCACACAACAAACAGCTTCAGCACCTGCACGTTCAATGATCCTCGCCAGGATTGACTATTGTAATAGTCTGCTTGTAGGATCTCCAGCGCAACAAATGAGAAGGCTGCAAAACATCCAGAACTCAGCCGCTAGAATTGTCACTCTGTCAAAAATGTTCTGTCACATCACTCTAGTACTCCACATGCTGCCGGTCAAAGAACGGACACATCATAAGATCCTCGCCCTCATATACAGCTCCTTGTTATCTGTGTGATCTAGTAGAAGACGCCCTACTTTACTTGTACCGAAAGCAAACGAGGAAATGTGGACAGAGACAAACAAGAACACAAGATGTGAGAGCTCAGTACACACAGGGTTTTGTGGTTAGAGCAACTGTCCCGATCGTGTGTGAGAAAATGATCCTGTTTGGACACTGGCGAATATCAGTGTATCAGTGATACAACTCCTGGTTATCTGTGTGATCTAGTAGAAGACTATGTCCCTACAAAAACTCTCCAGTGATCAAATGCTACTAAAGGTCCCCAACATCAGGCTCAAGACATTTGTCGGAAGATCCTTCGCATATAATGCTGCCGTTGAATGGAACGATCTGTAATCAACTCCAACTCGCACGTGTTTCAAGAAGCATCTTAAGACCTACCTGTTCAATAGAAATGGATTGTAAACATGTGATATCTATGAACTTTGTTTAGCGCTTTCAGCAAACTTTGGTGTGGAGTTTGGCGCAATATAAGGATCCATGCTAGTACATTATTATATATTTTAATACACATCAAAGCAAGCAGAAGCCTCACAAGCTGCTTACCCTGCTGACGGTTATATACATTTCTAGGTGACAGCATCACGAATCATACTTAAAATACAATGTCAATTTCTTACGAGTATTACTAAAATACAACGTTATCATATATTTCATGTTTTTTATTACTCAGTTACTATCTAGGAGGTGTTTTCGTAACAGTATTGATAGCACAGATGTGTGATAAATCAATTTTGAAAACCAATAAATAGAGACTTACAAATATATGTACACACCGATGAAGCTGTCTGTAATGTGATGCATTTGGTGAATTTAGAAGAGACATTCCTATTACCCTTATGTTTCATGATTGAGAGTTGTACAAACAGTTTTAATCGAAACATATCATTGTCTCGAACATGTACGAATGATGTGTCTACATAGTTTCGTTACAAAGATAAACAGGCATATGTATTGATAATTCCCTTATTGATTTAAACGTGGTTGATGAAAGCGTATCTGAACTGTAATTATAGATATCTCTCAGTAATAGTGTGGCCCCATCCTTCAAATCAAAACAAATTTCATAGATGATAAATTAAAAGCATAATAATCCTATCAAATTGCAGCGTCTATGTGGGTACTCAGTGAATAGTGTTTTAAAAGTAATAACAATGTGTTCAATATATTTTGTGTGTTTGTTTCTCTAACATGTCGAACACAACTTCAAGAGTTATTCTAGCACAAAAAAAGATCATTTTTCACCTAAGGGGAATTGAAGCCTGCCATTCACTTGATTTTCCTCCAAAGGGGAATTGAAGCCTGCCATTCACTTTTATGGTATAAGTCAATACACTACTTTTATAATTTTTAATAATTTCTTGAATTTATGTTTAGTTACAGTACTATACACTAGAAATGATATGTAGTATATTATGTCAGTATGGATGACGTATATGTCTGGTGAGGACTCATTACACACCAACACCAGCAAGCACATAGTCGTGGACTATTCAGTACCAATGTTAGTGATAAGCACTTACATAATATCCTGTGTGCCAGACAATCCATGGCCTGTTAATACTATTGTGAAAAACGACTTTAAACTTACCCGTAATGTTGCAACACCAGCAAGAACATAGTCGTGGACTATTCAGTACCAATGTTAGTGATAAGCACTTACATAATATCCTCTGTACCGGACAATCCATGGCCTGTTAAATCTAATATGAAAAACGACTTTAAACTTACCCGGAATGTTGCTATAGAAACATATTTGTCGCTTAGTTTGTGTGTGAATAGAAATTATTGCAGTATGACGCTGTTTCTGTCACTGTTTAGTAAGGAAAGCTATGCATCATCCCGCCGTGACCCTTTTATTCATCTCAGCTAACAACCAATATTGCTAGTTTCAGTGGTTGATAATGTGTCACCGCGCCAACTACCGTCCAGGGAGACTGGACGGAAAATGATCCAGAAAACACATCCTCATAACAGCATCATGACATCTCTTGGATACTTTCCATTGGTAATTTTGATTGTTTATGACAGTGCACAAATTATCATTATTATTATACACACTTCAAAAATACAAAAACAAAAAAGAAATAGAATACGCATAGGCCAAAAATAGGGAAATGTATTAAACGCATCTAAGTGTGCATGAGTCGACTAAATTTGAACACAGATGAATTAAATTCGAAAAACGGATGAAAATATGTATTGTTGTCATTGTCAGCATTAATTCAGTTTACTCACTGCACATGTCTGGACACAAGGGACGTTCAGGTTAGTACCTGGTGACACCAACCCTTGCAGCCGTCACTGCTCGACACCGCATTGGAAGGGATTGCACAAGTCGTCAGAGTTTTGCTTGGGGAATTCTTCGCCATTCCTCCTGCAACGTTCTGAGGACGATGATGACGTTTACGGACGCGTCGATCAAGTTCGTCCCATAGAAGAGTAATCGGGTTCAGATCAAGCAATTTGGAAGGCCATGGAAGGCTATTGACATTTGCATTGGCGAGATAGGCACTTGTTACATGAGCTTGTCGTGTTGAAACAGCTCCCTCTGATGGTTAAAAAAGTGGGAGGAGGTGAGATCGCAGGATTTGGTCGATGTAGCGATTTGCTGTAAGTCTTGAACCACCACTAGCTCTGATCTACCCATGCAGGACATGGTTCCCCACACCATAACCCTTCTCCACCAGATCTCTCCACCTGTCGAACGCAGTTCCACGCTAAGCATTCGTGCTGACGTTGATAGACAGGTTGTCTCCCATCCCGTCGTTGCAGGAGGAAACGCGCGTCATTGCTGAACCAAACGCATTCCTTTCGTTCCCCTGGCTCCATCCCTATACCCTGTTGCAACATTGGATACGTCGTTGTCAGTGTCGGTCCAACTTCTGTTCGATATGCTCGAATTCCCACTTCTCTCCTACGATTTCTGATGGTTTGGTTAAAATTCTTCGAATTCCAGGCACCTGTCCTGCAGTGTCCGTTGCTGTAGCAAATCGGTAACGTAGGCGGAACACGTGGATGAATCGGTCTTAAGTAGGAGTGGTCACTCTTGGTCTTCCACTTATGGAACGATCTTGGGTCTTGGATCTTGAGAGTGTTTTTTATTTATATGTGTATTATCATTGATTATGATAGTTATTATGGGTCACAATGTTTAAAGTTTTGAGTGTGGGTTGTGGCTCACATGTCGCATCATATATGTTCAATGGCAATAGTATTTCTAGCGGTACGCCTTTTGCGCACTTCAGAGTTGCCTCCCTTTCCTGGCCTTAATTTGCTTTGACTTCCTGTTTTCGTGAATGTTCTGATTGGATAAAGATGCAGCCTAGCTTTACTAGAATGCTCTAGAACTGTGTAAGCTATATAAAGACTGGTTGTTGAGTTGTGCCACTCACAAACGGACTTAATACATGACTGGAGTTATACACATCTGTCTGCCGTCATCGAGCTGATACATCTGCCTATCATCGTCAAGTCGGTCTGTCAACATTTCAAGACCGTGCTTATAAATTTAACTACTGTCATTGTAAACAACCTTCAATCAGTATATCTGTTCTCACCGTGAATGTCAAGACTCTGGTGAGTTAATATTTTATATTTGTGACCCAATATTTTAGATTTGTGATTCGGTTGCATTGTACTAGAAATCTGTATTGTCATTCATTGTAGTTTGCTCAATATATTATTGAATATTTTCGACTTATCTGTGGTCTATTTTGCTTGTTCAAGGGGGACTTTTAAACCTTTTGTCACGGCAAATTCATTAACCGTAACACGATGTCATAATCGAGATATGGTGCTGTGGTGGACGTTGAAGTGTCTTGCAACCGTTACGGCAGACTGGGACTCCTCTTCTTCCAGACGTCGAATGGCGATATTTCTGTCAGTAGTATTCAATCTTGGCAGTTTTCATCTTCGTTCTACGTCGTAAATTTCGTAATGAAATGATGAATTTGGTTTGCCCTTTATAGTCAATGTCTCTCCTCATGTGTCCGACACATTGCACGTGCACTACGTGGAGAACTTTTCTGCTTGCACTTTTCATATATCGTTTTCGTTTTTTCACGACAAACGTTTACAAACACAATTTGGGGAAGCGTTTCCGCGCAATACACAACAACCACAACACAAATAACGGGATTCAACGATTGCTGTCAAAATATATCGAAATGAACTGCTGAAAGCGCCTATGCGTTTCTTTGTTTGAAGAGTGTAATCATCCTTTAATTAGTTTCGCAGCTATATACCAGTATGTTATTGGCAACTTCGTTTTCAGTTAATTCTGGGTTTTGAAATCTGTGTTGGTAAGAAATCTATCAAAAGTGTAGCATATTGTTTTGAGCATCATAACATATTGGCGTTCATAAAATATGCACATGTCAATGCCATCACGTTACGCTATTTGTTTAGAACATGTCAACTGGTACTTTGTAAGAATCAATCTCAACAACGTGCCTGTCAAAACAATCTTGTCAACTTTTCAAGAGTTATTTAGTTGACCTTTTTACATTCGATCGTTTTAATCCAATGTGCCAATGTGGTAGTGAAAACGATATTTAATGATTTATCAGAGTGCCCCTAGGATAACAAAGAAAATCAATGTTAATGATGATGCGGGACACCTTGCAAAAAGCTATGTGCAACGATGTTAAGTGTGAATAAATTCATGTATAACGAAAATGAAAATACTACAACTACTGTTATTACTACTACCATCAACACGGATACTACCACCACAACTACTACTGCTACCACTACTACTACTACTACTACTACTACTACTACTACTACTACTACTACTTCTACTACTACTACTACTACTACTACTACTACCACCACAACTACTCTACCACTACTACCGCTACTGCTACTGTTGCTACCACTACTACATGTACCACCACTACTTTTGCGACTGCTACTACTACTACTACTACTACTACTACTACTGCTGCTGCTGCTGCTACTTTTAGAACAACTATTGCTACTACTACCATTACCACCACAACCACAAATATAACAACTACTACAACTAGTATTACTACTAATACTATCACTACTCCAGCTACTACTACTACAATTACTACTACAATTACACTTACCACTACGACCACTACTACTACTACTACTACTACTACTGTTATTATTATCACTACTACACCTACCACTATAGTTTCTACAATTACTGGGGTAGCCTAGTGATTAAAGCGTTCGCTCGTCATGCCTGAGGTCCCGGGTTCGATTCCCCACATGGGTACAATGTGTGAAGCCCATTTCTGGTGTTCCCCGCCGTGATATTGCTGGAATATTGCTAAAAGCGGCGTAAAACCATACTCACTCACTCACTCTACTACTACTACTACTACTACTACCAATAACACTACTACCACAAGTACCACTACTACTACTACTACAACTAATACTCATACTACTACTACCATTATAAGAAATTTGATGTGTAACGGTATTGAAAATACTACTCCAACTACAGTACTGTTAGTACTACTACTATAACTACTTCTACCAATACTAGAAATACTACTACTGTCATTACAACACAGGGGAGCTAACACTACAAGGTGTGTGTTCTCAACGTGCCAGGTGCAGTCACCTATACAACTGCTGCAAACATTGCTGTAATGCACTTGACATGAGATAGGAGTTCTGGTCATGATCACGTCGTGACTCCTCACAGTTTGACATGTACGATTACAGTGGTCGATTGTTGATATCATTCAAGTGTCCCAGTCGCATTAAATGATTCGAACACAACCAGGATGTAAAATGCAAATATGTCCATACAAACATGAGGAGGTGCCTGGTAACCTAGATGTTCTTCATAGCGTAAACATCCACTGGTTTGCAACGCCTGTAATCTCTGGTCGGTTATATTAAACGGTGAGTATGTCTTTGTTTATACAGGTTACATAAGCTTATTTATATGAATATCCTGAGATGTCGTGGTGATATATACATATGTTGTGGGGATCGGATGATGGACCCTGCTTTGTGCTTATTCACACAGACGCGTCTTTGGAACGTCTATACACACGGAAAAAAGTAAAGGCAACATCTATGGCCATATGGCTGTTGATATTCATATAGTAACTATCCTTTGCTTGTTTGAATGATTATTTTAGTTCAGTAACTTGGAAAAGTAATTTAATTTGTTATTGATAAGCATAAATAGGTCAACTGTCAACTGTTAAAGGATGGCAAATTGTTGATATGCGGTATGCTGACACGTCATTCAGGGCTATTGCATGAAATGCTGCAAGTCCCAAATTATCCCCAGGACACAGAGCAGTGCGACTATCTTCGTGTCCAGTTCGACGTCACCGGACATTGAGGTCATGTGGAGCGTCCACTCTTCATAACTGATGACGGAGCACGTGTTTGGCGCCGCAGAAATTCTGCACGTGCTCAAAGGAATATCTTACAGCAAACACTGTTTGGCGGGGTTTATTGATTGTGTAGGTGACTCTGATAATGTCATTACTGTAAACCTGATCAGGTGACGATCGGACCAAATCTGAATGGACAACGGTACATCACTGGCATCCCAAACAGGGTTGTTGTATCATTTCGATAACCACCATCTTACGACAAGCATGGGTTACTGAAGATCAATATTCTAACCCGGATCTTCACTGGTGACTTAGCAGAAATCTGTATTGTGTTGTAGAGAGGGTATAACTTATAAGACAACTGCTATCAGTGTACAATTCCCATGTCGCTTAGCCTGGAACTTTCTGGAAGCTTGTTTTTCTGCAACGGTAACATTGTTATCACTGAATTTGCTGATATTCGTATAACATTCTTTTTTGTGTGTTCGTAGGTTTCAATCTGAACTCTTTTTCTCACAGTTGTTAATGATCAAATCGCTATTTCAATCGACATGTAACAACGAAAGTGTGCACAACGAAATTGTGCATGTATCTACGTGCGTGCGTAAGTGAGTTACTGCGCGTGCGTATTTGCGTTTGTGCGTGTGTACATGTATGTGTGTGCGTGTATGTGTTTATTATATTTGTGAATATCTTGAAATGTTCTGATATTCCTGGTCACCTTAGAATCATGTGGTCAGTATCACCATTTCAGATGGAATGTCGCAACCCTGGCCTGTGGCGATCTATCCTATCGTGTTCCACCGTGTTGTTCTGTTTGGCGTATCTGTGTAAGTGACGAAAAAAACACCCAAATATCTAAATTTCACCCGGAGACAAAGCAGCACAACGGTGTATCCAATGAGACTATTATCTAAACGCCTGATTGTGTCCTCATGCATCAGGTCCAAGAAATTAATATCATATATTCTCCAGAATACATTCATACATTTTCGCAGACTCTAAATGAAGGTTGGCAATATGTTTTAAATAACATCCAGGAATGAACCTTGTCACACTATATCCAATGTTTAAGCAAAATTATGTCATCTGAAAGCTTTCGAAAGTAAGGTCCTATTTCCTTTTCTGGGTCATTTGGCAGGTGGGTGCTTTCCTGTGCGTCTGGATCCTGGACCAAACTATGGCTACGTGCAGGTGTATGATAATGGCAGCTGGCAGCAGGCATGCATTATGTTCTATAGCATCCCCGTAGACAAGATATGCAATCAGCTTGGCTTCAACACGTAAGTACTCATAGAATATATCATTTTTGGGCAATATTTGAGCTACTTCTCAGCCAAAGATTGGTAGTACGCAGTTTTCATATTTTGAGAATCGGAAACGTGTGTTCAACGTGACGTGATAAGTCCCGAACCATGGGAGACCCCGATGACAACGTTCATGTATTTATAATGTAATATTTTGTCCCTGCGGTCTATGCATGTTTGTAAATGTTCAAGTAAGTGTACAAATGTCATGACATAGTTTTGAGTGTATACTTGGTGTTTGGACACATGTTGGAAAGCTATTCATGAAGTGGATTACACAGGGATTCTTTTTCTTTCAGCACACGCAATGAGGTTATGCGTCAAGCTGGAACACTGTATGGATTCTTTTGGAATGGAGAGATCTATTGTTCGTCAACAGACGCCGACCTGAGTCAGTGCAGTTTCATGTTTTACTACACCAGGACCATCTGCTATGACTACCAGATACCAAGAATCGCTTGTTTATCGGGTACGTGTAATGTTACATTGTTACAAAATGACAGACTTGTTTTAGGAATATAGAGTGCATGTAGTTTCTGTTCCTACAGTAGACGCCCTTTCGGACGCAATGAGACTGGTAAATAGCTGTTCCACTTTTCATACTGTATTGCTGTGTCACAACACTGTATTATGTTCATATTTTCTGCTTACTTTGTGTTAAACCTCGTAAACACATCGCGATCAATGATTCTGTAATATAATTTCCAACCCTCTTTCCATGACAAATCCGGAAAGATTGTGGGAAAATCTCCACATACCCCTGGCATTTACTTTTGGGATTGAAGACCATATTTGCACTTTTTCAGATGACGAAACCCAAGTTGATATTGAGAACCACAATATCACAGTAGCTGACGGACTCAGTTTTAACACAAGATGCAACGTATATACACCTCACACAAACTTGTCCTATCAATGGAGCCACAACTGGAAGAATATATTTCACTCAGGAACATCTTTCTCTGCAACTGGAAACAGGACGGTAGCCGGTAACTGGACTTGTTCCGTGTCATCTGAGGGTGTGACAATCGGATCTGATTCCACCGTGCTCAATGTTCTTTGTAAGTAACGTGCTTTAACTTGAAGAAATGTTTTGGTAAGTTGGGGAATACAGATGTTGCACTCATATAGATTGATCCACTGTGCGAAAGATTTAAAATTTTAAATGATCTGCAATAAATATTATCGAAATCGGTAAATATTGTAATTTCAATGTCTTCTTGAAACCATGAATGGAAGAAAATGAGATGGACATTGAGTCGATTCATAACTGATCATAATGGATGACTTTTTTTGTTAAAGACATAGTTGTTATTCATGCCATGAAATCATACGAATACAGTGTGTTTAAGGACAATATTGTTTGTGACTGTAGATCCTCCTGAACGACTACAAAGTAAAGTCATCTATGCGAGGATCGGCGATGCGGTTAGCTTGAGTGACACTGATGTTTCTTTTCCGTCACCTGAGACGTTCACTTGGAGGAGATTCAACACCAACTCGTCCCTTGTCACATCGGCAACACCGCCTGTTCTATCAAATATACAGCAGAAAGATGCTGGAGAGTATGTCGTCCTGATTCAACAGCCTGCATTTTACTTAACTTCATTTTCATCTTCATACAGAGGGAATTATTCCTTTGGTGTGCAACTGGTGAAGATACGTATTCCGTGTAAGTTTTTTTCATGAATGAAAACATACTGCTTTACGCCGCACAGGAAACATTACAACTACTCACAGAAAATATTTATTCATGTTGTGTGCACAGGCCCCGTGTCTTTGCGGGGAATAAGATTTAAAAAATGTCAGTTGACCCAGACTTGGAATGATTCACAGTACAATAAATCATGACAAGGCCTGACACTTCCCCAACCGCCTGCTTTGCCGATCGCTACGCTACCATCACATGCTATCGATTAAAACTTAATGTAAACATAATCTTTGATGATTGGCCTATCGATTACCACTCATGACATCTACCAATGCTTTACTGTTATTTCTGCAAGTCGATTGAAAGCCGATTTTGGCCGACAAGTGAACATTTTAGGCACAAATGGATGACAATATGTCCGCACAAAACGGGGGCGTGGTCGGAGCAAGCCCTCTGATTGGTCGACGCTTGTTCAGGAGACATTTACAGCTGATGCTTTCTTTTGAGAAGCCATTGTTGGAACAAAACATGATTAAATTTCCAAGTCAAGCAGGAGATGAAATTCAAATTCCCTCGAATTTACAAAGAATGTACAGATGTACAAGCGTCGACCAATGAAAGGGCTTGCTTCGATCACACCACCGTTTCTCGGATCCTCCCTGGACTGCTCTCGAACAGACTTTGAAGGTGTTCTTACAAACAGTGACTGCCAGGCACGGCGTAGTTCGTCGAAAACTTCATCGGTTGTGGTGATATCCCGATTGCAATTGTCTAGTGATCTTTTAAATTTCAGCCAAATATTCTCAATTACATTTACGTCAGTTAATTGTGCCGCCCAATTTAGCAACTTGATATGATTTTCATGCATGGAGGTTTTGGTAATACGAGCCCGCTGAACGGGCGCATAAAACATCTTGGAAGATAAAAAAGTCATGTTCAGGAAAATGCCTCGCGACAACAGGTCGCAAGCTGGAATCGACAATGTCGATGTGAAATGATTGTTCAAAGTTTCAACTTCATATAAGTGAATCACCAGATTGTCATGACGTTAAAACTTTGAAAGATGTCTCCCATTATTTGTATAATTGTAACAATGTTACTTCAATGAATAATGATTATGTAGAGTTTCTTTCTAAGTATTCACAGCAACTGTTTTCTGTGGAAACACTTTTGTTCGGTTCAACAGAAGACTTTGATCAAATATTTGATTATTTAAATATGCATTTAATATACTTTACATATAAGTCTCACTATACTGATATCAAAGTTTCTATGACGCATTTCACTATAGTTTTGAAACATGCTTTGGAAATATATAGATATTCAAAGGAAAGGCTTAAGTATCAAGAAAAACTAATGTTAGATTTACAATAGAAAAATATATGTATTATATCACACTGAAGTCTATAATCCAATAGTCCCTGACCACGTCTACCTGTGTGGTTTGCTTGACAAATCGTGGTTACCAATGATGGATAATAAAACTAAAAGAAATGTGACCATCCCAGGCCATAACCATAAGATGTACTGCACCTCCAGATCATAACTTTGACCATACGTCCAGTTGTTGGACACACACACACACACACACTAACCTATACTTTTCGTTTTTCTCAACAAATTAATTCTTTTATTTTCACCAATTGCCAACTGCCATTCATCTGAGAAAATGACAGTTCGCCAAAAGTTCTCAACAGTATTGTTTCTGATTTTTTGACACAAAATTCTACGGGTCTTTTTCCGATTTATGTCTTTCACCAACATTTTCTTCTTGGCATTGTGTCTACAAAAACCATTTGTATGCAAAACACGTTGTACACTTCGTGTGGACACAGGCACAGCTTTAACAGTGTTAAATTCACTTGAAATAAACAAAACAAAACAAAAATAAAATATTTTTAAAAGAAATTCACTTGAAATGTCCCTCAAAAACTTTCTACGATTCTTTTTTGTGATCCGCAAAATAGTAGCACAATCCCTGTCATCCAGGGAATTTTTTTTTGACGAATACGATGAATTTTGATCGAGCCCGTCGTTTGAAACGTCTTCAAATTAGATTGAACGGTAGACCTGGGTATGAATAATATTTCACCAATTTTCTGGTTTAGTTTCATAACAGTTTCCTACACGCCACTCGCTAATTCTTTGCTTTCACACCCCATTGCCTAAACATGGATGTGTAGTCAATGTAAACAAGCAAACGACACATCAACAGGATCACGTGACAAAGCTTGTGTCAAAGGGGTGGGTGGGTGTGGGGAAGTGAAGTGGGGTGGGTGGGTGTCGCAATTCGAATATAACCGGCACGAGTCTGTAGTTTGTGTTCTTGTTGCATTGACATTGATCAAATACAAATTCAACTGCAACCTTTGTGCATGGAATTGATTGGATATTGTTGTATAGTGTTATCCAAGAATTCTATTTCCAAGAATTCTACTTCATTTACCAGACCCGCCCACCATCCAGTGCGAGAAGACTGTCCGGGTTAGGAATGGTCAGTCCAGGAGTGTACGGTGTCTGGTTGATTCCTATCCAAAACACCACGTGCTGACATGGACGCTGGCAACAGCAACTGGGACCAGAACTCAGTCCAGCCACCAAGACATCTTCAACATTGACAACGCCAGTGCCAGAGATGAAGGAACGTACACGTGTACAGCTACCAACAACCTAACGTACCCGGATGGTCAAGTCGAGACAGGAACTGGAAGCTGTGTCATTAATGTGAAGGTCATGTCTCCCAGTGGTGGTACGCTTATGCAGGAATCATAAAACATCCTTGATTGTTCAATATTTAGCGCTAAAAGCAGTCTAAACCCAATGGTCAAAATTGTGAACAATCGGCCATGGGAAAAGGAGAATCAATTATTGGATAATTAAAAGTAGGTTCTATGGCTGCAACGATGTTTGGTTTCAGATTGAATGGTCGATCCCTGAGTACTCTTGTACCACGTGTATACGCACTAAATTTTAAAATAGAGAAGGTTGTATTGTCAGTGCAGTGTTGGTAATGTATGTATTGTATCAGGAAGCTCTGTTGAAGGTGCAGCAACGGCAGCCGCTGATCGCGAGACGACTAGTTCTGCTGTTTGGGGAGGCCTTGCACTTGTGGCGATCATGGTCATTGGACTGCTAGTAGCTGTTATCCTGTTGACCATACGTCAACCATCTAAGAAAGGTAAGCTTTAAATGCCTCACCCAAACGTTAACATACTCAAACACTTGTCTGTGATTCAATCAACAACAAGGAATTAGTAAATGTATAGAATGTTACAATCGATTTTATTTGAATTTCAATAACTATACCATTTCATACATACACATTAGTAACACTTTTAACGTTGTTATTACAGATGATCAGAATGGGTGAGTAAACTATATTTCCTTGCCCATGTTAGTGTTTATACATAATAAATAAAAATACATAATAATCATATTGACAGATCCACATGCTTGTCACAATATTTATATCTATGAGTTAATCATGGTGATATTCTGCAACATGTGCCTGCTTCAGAGACAAGCCAGTTGAGATGACGACAGTCAGCAGGACCAGTGGAGCGGTTATTTCCAGTATGTTGAAGTGCTACTATAGAAACGTATCTCATGTTCCTCACAAATTGTTCGATTTTCGCCGAAGTAAACGAGCACTTAACATTATTGAGGAATTATTTGAATCAAATAAGGCGAACCACAAATTTCCGTTAAACTTGATATATACTCTTTGAAAAGGTATATTTTTTATTTATGATTGAAATAATTGGGAGATATATCGGAGTCAATCAATGTTAATGTGATAATAATAAATGTTTTGAAAGTGTATCACCACTTGCACTTCCTTATGACCATGGGTGTTTGTACAGTAATCGCTCTTGAAAAATGATTGGTGCATGACGTGAAATCTTTCTAAGACGGCTCGAAACAAAGACTAACAGCTGTGTGACACAAGATGACTGTCAACATCAATGGCCTACAGTAATTTATCGACCTGTTTGAAAACCATCAAAATAAAAAATGACAGTCCTTGCACGTGTATGGGGCTAATGCGTTGTGTTTAGGAGTGATGATAGAGACAAATGGTGCGGTCATAAGATGTCTGTCTTTGAAAAGTTTGTTAACGCTTATACTTTTTTTTGAAGACATATATGTTCATTGATTGCAGATCCAATGTACGAGAATACATAAAATCACGCATGGAAGTGAACAAGCTATTGTGTCCCCACTACCACTATAACTATCACTAGTACTACCATTTCCTACCACTACCACTATCACTAGTACTACCACTTACTACCACTATCACTATCACTAGTACTACCACTATCACTAGTACTACCACTTACTCCCACTGTCACTATCACTAGTACTACCAATTACTACCACTGTCACTAGTACTACTACTTACTCCCACTATCACTAGTACTACCAATTACTACCACTGTCACTAGTACTACCACTTCCTACCACTACCACTAGCACTAGCACTACCACTTACTCCCACTATCACTATCACTAGTACTACCAATTACTACCAATGTCACTAGTACTACCACTTCCTACCACTACCACTATCACTAGTACTACCAATTACTACCAATGTCACTAGTACTACCACTTCCTACCACTACCACTATCACTAGTACTACCACTTACTCCCACTATCACTATTACTAGTACTACCACTTACTACCACTATCACTACTACTAATACTACTACTACTGCTACTACTACTGATGCTGCTGCTGCTACTACTACTATTATTACTACCTTGCAAATAACTACCCCATCCCATATGAAGGACCTACCAGCCACCAGATTGCCCGCCTCCCAGCCTAGAAGTCTCCGTCAGCAGCAACACCAACACTTGATAACAGTCATCCAGGCCAATGGTAGAATACGCAAGAGCTACAAGTTTGAACCCATTTATGAAATCCAATGTGACTGTGGTGACACCAACTATCGGAGTGGTTCTCACACCATTCACTATCAGACATAAAGAACACAGGCTTCCATGACGAAATCTCGGAACATTTAATCAAGAACCTCAGCAACAACATCAAGTTGGACTCTTCTCAGGAAGCTTCAAGAAGGCATTGAAGACACTAAAACACCACACAGCCATGAACCATGACCATTGCGTGGTTTTGCCTCATTGTTGTAATGGTCTCGTTCTTGTCTCAGTTTCTTTTGTTGTCTTAGTTTCTGTGCTAGTCTTAGTTAACTGGGTCCGTTGATTGCCGCCAATCAGTACCAGCTAAATATAAGCAACAACTACCTTTATTCTATAAGGTATACTGCTATTATCCATTGTTATTTATGTACACTATATAATATATTGTGAGAGACTTCAGAGAGACTTGTTACATGTTTGATTTTGGAACAATTTTTGAAACATAACGAACATCATTACTATTGCTAACACACCGGGATCCAGGATGCGAACTCATGATAGTTGTAGCTCTGACACAGCTGAGGTAGAAATCCATGGCACCTACAGTGCGTACATCAAGTGTGACCGAAAAGTGTTAGGGTCATAGAAGGTGTCTTCTTTTTCGATAACCTTAGATTATGACAAATACATATGTAACTGTGTACCGTTGCTAAAGGAAATATACAAGCGAGGTTACATGACCGCAAAGATGTTTGATCGGGTGCTTACGTTTCGAATAGATACCTTTATTTTGTATTACATTCCTGATGTTGATTCTTATTTAGCTATTGCCCACTTTGAAGTAACCATGCTACAATGACGATGCATTTCAATAAATCACAATTAAGTCGTAGTGTCGTGGTGTTGTGTTTAACAGTTCAACTGCTTTACGGTTGTAGATCTGTATGTCAGATAAGGTGTTTTGCTGAATCGTACAGGAGAGCTTGGCTTTCATTCAAATATAAGTATGTTGGGTCACCTTGACATTATTACATACTTCCTTGCTTACAACCTAGTGAGTATTGTTTTACACCACTGTAGCAATATTCCAGCAATATCATGGCGGACAATACAGCTTAGAAATGATGTACGTGTATTTCCTAATCTGCGGTTGTGCCGAACATCCTGACGTTGTTACGTATGTCCCCTGACTTTCGACACAATGGTGCTTGTATGCATATCAGTGTCCCTGATAATGTATACTTTCTGTTGTTATTCGAGGATGTGAACTATATGACGTCAGCATTGTCAAATTGTATGAATATATAACTGGATACATTGTTTTCGTTCAAACTCGTGAATATCCGGGTTAGAATTGATCTTCAGTAACCCATGCCTGTCGTAAGAGGCGACTAACGGGATCGGGTGGTCAGGTTCGATGACTTGGTTGACACGTCATCGTATCTCGATTGCGTAGATCGATGCTCATGCTGTTGTTCACTGGATTGTCTAGTCCAGACTCGATTATTTACAGACCACTGCCATATAGAGGGAATATTGCGGCATAAAACTAAACTCACTCACTCATTTCTATCTTTCAAATATATCAGTCGTGACCGATAAATAAATCTCTTTCGGTAGATATTCGAGACTGGTAGAATAGAATATTCAGTCTTCTGAACCCATACATTCACTACAAAGCTGTAACTGTAAAGATCTGACACTAAAGATCTAATGCAAACGAAGTAGGTACTAGGACTTAAGTTACTACAAAAGACGTTGAATGATACTTGATATTGCCCTGCCTTGTGCTCGGAGTCAAATTTAAGTTTTTGATTGTGGTATCCAGGAAGCATATTATGTTAGGAGGCTGGTACTATTAAACTGGCATTAGTCCTGGCTATTACAGACACGCACACATGCGCACACACGCACACACGCACACACACATACGCACACATACACATGTTTGACCTTCCAAATTACATACATATACCGTTATACCATAACGTGATATTCTAAAAGATATCTAACATGTCCATCAATATCTTGAAACTCAGAATGTCGTGTTTTGGCTCTGTTAATAAACTCTTTAATTGAATGCGCCCGCTCTACAGTACATTGGGACACTGATGTAACTACTCGAAGCTACAAAGCTAAAATGCGAGTCATATTTTATTTTTGTAGCTTCGCGTAGTTACATCAGTGTCCAAATTACCCAGAACCAAAACACGACATTCTGAGTTTCAGGTTATTTCTCTGACAAGCGACAAAAAAGCACTCACAATATGATATAATTCAATGTTGGGTTGGGCTCTCCGTGGTATAGGAAGGAGGAAAACAACATGTATATGCTCTCACAGCCCCATAGTAGCATTATATCCTCATATCGACTGTCCCATTCAACCCCGTTCAGGTTTTGTATCTCGACTTTCCTTGTTGAAAATCGATACAACTGTGTGACATAGAGCTGTAATGTAAATGCATTGAAGGGCTTACCCGTACCAGTTCTCCTGGAGCGAGTTTTATCTATAGATCGAACATTTTACTGACACGCACAAACACTACAATTGTTAGCATGCAATGATTTTTCTAAATATAATAAACATCGGAGGCAAATTTTGCATTATCTAGTCACGTTGGAGGAAAATCGCTGTTATATCTCTCAAACTCTTTCCTACCTACTTCAAATCGCTTTGAGCATGACATCGAACGTGGCTATATCGTTATAGAAATGGACGTTTATTTTATCAATATTTGTTATGATGTACACAGATCCATTGTACAATTATCCTGTCTACTGCCCCATTGAGACCTGTTAAAATATTGTATCACGGTTTTCCTCGTGGAAAATGTAGAACTTTGTATGGTACCTCTGTTACATAAATATGTTGGCAGAAATACAATCGGATATTTTGCAGATGTTTAGCGTCACTGACATAGCTATTGTTACTGCGTATGTGTTTTGATACTGATAAGTGGGTTTGACTCTATTATCAATGTGTTTTTTTTATATAACTGTCATGTTTGTGTCTCATAGGCCATATGTCCGGATGCTGTTTTTGAATCCCCGAATCAACTAAACGTGTTGTCATTTTTAATTCAGCACGTGACGCAGCAAGAACAAATATATTTCTTCTTCTTCTACTTCTTCTTCTTCTTCTTCTTCATGCTGAAAATTGAATGTCTTTGAAATCTGAAGTATTGGCAGTTGTTCTTACAATTTACTACAGTTTACTGCAAACTTGCTGAAATTTTTATTCAATTTACTGAACGTGCTTCTAAATATGACTGATACATTTAAACTTAAAGTTAGGCGTATTTCTTTCCTTCAACATGACTCTTCTCGGAATTGGCATAATGAAGTGGAGCAAACAATAGAATATGCATTTCTCTGGAATCCGAAGGTGAGGGAGATTTGGGGATGTTGTACAACTTTCTGCATGTTTTATTTCTCAATGCCACGGTATTTTTGTGGAGTTATCTTCAGTAACTTAATGTTTTCAAAGGTCAGGTTTTGATTGACATAAAGATTAGTCGCACATTTCAACTTCCTGTACGTTTCCTTATGTACTCGAAATTGAAAAATATTGTATTACAATTTACCGCAGCTTCAGTTATTACAATTTGCTGCAGGTTTCATTATACTTTTCCTTGATGCACTTATTACATTTGCTATTACAATTTCCCGCAGTGGTTATTACAATTTACCTGGGTGGTTATTGCAATTTACCTGGGTGGTTATTACAATTTACTGGGGGTATTCATACAATTTACGTCAGTGGTTATTACAATTAACTTCGGTGGTATTACAATTTACTCGGGTGGTTATTACAATTTACTGTAGTTGTTATTACAATTTACCGCAGTGGTTATTACAGTTTAGCTCGGTGGTTATTACAATTTACTGCATTGATTATTACATTTTACTGCATTCGTTATTAAAATGTAATGCGATAATATTACAATTTACCACATTGGTAATTACAATTTACTTGGGTGGTTATTACAATTTACTGCATTGGTTATTAAAATTTAATGTGGTAATTTTACAATTTACCACATTGGTTATTACAATTTACCTGGGTGGTTATTACAATTGACCTGAGTGATTATTGCAATTCATGTCGGTGGTAGGTACAACTTACTGCAGTGGTTACTGCAACTTACCAGGGTGGTTATTTCAATTTACTCGTGTGGTTATTACAATTTAATGCTTTGATTATTACAATTTACCGTGGCGGTCATTACAGTTTTATGTAGTGGTTATTACAATTTACTGGGATGGTTATTACAATTTACTGGGATCGCTATTACAATTTACCAGAGTAGTTATTACAATTTACCACAGTAGTCATTACTATTTACTGTGGTGGTTATTACTATTTACTGTAGTGGTTATTACACGTTACTGGGGTGGTTATTACTATTCACCATGGTTGTTA